AAGTCTCTGGGCAGCAAGGACGGAACATCGGTGGAAGTTTCATGCGTGAATATAGATGAAAAATGGGAATTCATGGTTTCGGCGGAGTCGGTGGCGGAAACGGCCGAACCATGGGGATTAGTAAATGGCAAGTTTTGAGCAGCGCTGTTTTTAGGAGACAAATACATCCAAAATTTTTGTGGGTTGTCGCGCAGGATGCCGAGGAGATCATGACCGAAGAATTGCCTTTTTGCATTTTTTAACACTGAAGTGTACTCGCGCAAACATGTGCGATACTTTTCCCATTTAACAGGGGATTTCGATAACTTGGCTTCTCTGAAGAGGCGTTTTTTCTTTTTTTACAGCCTCCTTAAGGAATTAGAGTACCATGGTCTTTCGGCATCCCCGCGGATACAGATTATAGGTACATGTCTGTCAATTAAGGACAGCAATTTGTTTTTAAATAACACCCAGTTTTGTTCGACTGTTTGCGAAGCAGCACAATGAAAAAATGTTTCATAGAAATCTGCCAGTTCTTCATTATTTTGGAAAAATTGGCTTTGTTATAATCGCGGATGTACTTATTGAGAGGTTGTCGGATAGGAATAGGAATGGAAAGGCCACTTACCTAAATTTTATGGTCACTGATACCATCTACGCATTGAACTGAGTTTACAAGATAAGGAGTTGAGACCAAAAATAAATCGAGTATGTTGGTACCACGAGTGGGCATAGTAACCATTTGGGCAAAATTAAACATAAGGCACAAATCTAGAAAGTTTCTTGAAAGGGGTGAGTGAGCAGCTAGGTGAACCCAATCAATGTCTGGGAAATTCAAGTCGCCACACAACAAGAAGTTCGAACAGGGAAAGCGAGAAGTTAGGTCTAAGACAACAGAGTAGAGTTCTTGTGTAAAATTATCGTCAGAGTCGGGGGCTCGATAACATGTGATTAGTACTGTTTTACTGGTTGGAAAAGTTAGATTTACGCACAGGATTTCATGACGGCATTCTGCATCAATTCTGGAAGAAGGCAAACATGCGTGCGTTTCGGCATCCGACTGGTTGGGCATGGAGTTACTGCTACTGTAGGAGTGACAATTGTCCACGCATGTCACGTGCAGTACTTGTGTTGCGCATGGTTTTTTGTGGCATGAATAGTTTCGACAACTTGTGAATGCAAGAGATGTTTGGTATTGTGCTGCAAGACCACGTACAAGTTGTGGTGTTAGGAGAAGTAATTTTTTTTTACCTGAAAAACGATGGAACAATGGTCGCACGACGCGCTAATGCTTGCAAAAATAATTTTGTTGCTATACAACGCTATCTGTCTTATGAAGTTACAAAATGAGCATTCACTGCATTCACTGACATGTATCGCCCTGAACCTGAGCGACCCATACTAGCCTGTAACCTTTTTGAAACTGCTCTAAGCTGGGGCATGTGCTGTTCAGAAGCCTCTCATACTGCTTAGAACAAAGTTGGTTTTTGTACCTTGCACACTACTGTGATCTCGAAATTGCCTTATTATTTTATTACTTGCTAGGCTTTATATGTATATACCATCTGTTAATTTCGAGCAAGCCAGGCTTAACGATGCGTGTACGACTTCCAATGCCTTTTGAGATAACATCAGCTCGTTAGTGCTTACATTTGTCGTTTTAGGATAACAACAGTGCTTATTGAACTAGTCTTATTAAAAATCTAGACTTACCATTATTGCATTCAAATATTTAGCAATTGAGATGCCCAATGTGTATAGTATTCGTAGTAAGATGTTAAACAGGGCAGCTTCTTTTTTTTTACGACCTGTTCCAAAAAAAAGTATTGCATTGAGGGTGTCTCTTTTTCTGCAATTTTTGATGGAGAAAACAGTTCATGAACAGGGCACCATCGTTTCCTTTTCATTTCAAAGTGTGGGCACTTGTCTGTCCCAAGTTCACTGGTGCTGGTCCACTCACGCTAGTTGTGTTAATATCTGCCAAACTTCGGAGGAGCGTTTCGATGGGGGTGGCAGCCTGCAGACGTAGCTTTTTGTGATAGGAGTCGGCACTTTTCATTATTTTAGCACTCTTATGGCAAGTGCTCATCATTGTGAAATTTTTTATTTTTATTTGTTTATTTATTTATTGACAGTACTTACAGTTTCAGTGTGGGTTACTAGTTGAGACCAGAGCTTTAAGCAAAATGCCTATTTTTTTGTGGAGTTTGTTTCAAGCCTATTTAACATATAAACACAAACTAAAGGATGCAAAACATTTTAATCACACGTTTGTTCTGCCTATAAGTGCCTATTTCTAGGTTCGTGCCTATACCAGCTTTTCATCGCCCAACAATGCCTTTTCGCGTTCGTTATGTGCACGTTTTGCTCATATGAGCTGTTAATATGGAGGATAACAACGGACACTTAGTGTGGCCATATGAACGACAACACGTGCATAGCGGGCTAGCAGGTTTTTTTTTTTTTGCTCATGTTTTTTGTTTCTGTTAAAGGGCGAATAGTATTGTAGAAGCGAGGTGAGGCTAATGCTAGTGTACTCCGTCCCCCTGGAAGATCCTTGTCACTAGGTTCGACAGTAGTGCAGCTCGGCGGTTGCGTGGGGGAGGCTAGAGTACAGTGTAGCTAGAATGTCCTCTAATGAGCTAGAACTAAGCTAAGCTAGTGCTTTTGTCTACAGCCTAGACGCAAGTTTCATTGACATTTGTGTTCTTGATAACCGCAACTGTCGGAAGTCTGCCGAGCAGCCCTGCCACGGTGGCCTAGTGGCTAAGGTACTCGGCTGCTGACCCGCACGTGGCGGGATCAAATCCTGGCTGTTGCAGCTGCATTTCCAATAAAGGTGGAAATGTTGTAGGCCCGTGTACTCAGATTTGGGTGCACTTTAAAGAACCCCAGGTGGTCAAAATTTCTGGAGCCCTTCACTACGGCGTCTCTCATAATCAAATGAAGGTTTGGGGACGTTAAACCCCACAACTCAGTGGAAGTCTGCCGAGCAATCTGGAACAAATAAAAGCCGTTAAGTGTCCTTGTCAGGAAATAGACCTGTGGATCACAGCGCTGCACCGTTGATCGAGAAACGGCACATGTGGAAAGCAGGGGAGAAGACATTGGAAAGCTCAAATATTTTGCGTTTGATGTCCACTCCAAAGCATAAGCATAAAGCTCCCAACATTGCTTACGCAACGGTCATTTTGAATAACCCTTGAAACTGCGCAAATAACATGTTGTTTTGTGGTCATTTCATGGGTACCTGAATTCATGTTGACATCAGCTGTATTTTTTTCGATTTCACCACGTAATTTTTTCTGTGCCTCGTCAGTTTTGTTGTAGCAGGGTTAGACTATACTGACTGAAAGCATGCACATTTCACGCCCAAAAACCTTAAGATGATGCTGGTTTGTCACTACTTTCATAGCCTTTCCCACAATGTCTAGATACCCCAGCTTTCACCTAAATCTGTTCAAATTATTATTTTTAAATTCTTTTCATGGATAAAATGAATTTAGCCTTCCCAAAGCACGCAATTTGCCTGCTTAGAAGTTGAATGTTCGTCTTGAAACATGCTAGTGAAGAAATAATGAATTGTGCCTGTATATGCCCAAACGATAGTTTTTAAAGGGCCACTCAGCAGGCCCCATACTAAATTTTATTTAGACCATGGAGGTTGTTGGGTGTCGGATAAGGAACATTGTGCCTCAAAAAGTTTTTGAATGGGTTCATTACGAGCTGAAAAAACTGTTTTTTTAGAAGCGGTGTGAAAATAAGAATAGAGAAGGCGAGCTCAGAACCGTTGCCGCTACTCCGCGTAGCCTTCGCAAGCCAAATCTCTTTCCTTCTCTCTCTGGCATCCGACCAAGAAGTCACATGCGCATGATGTGCCCGAAAAAGTCCAACCCCGATGTACGCGAGCGGCGTTTTTTTTTTTTTTTTTTTTTTTCACCAGCCTTGTTTTGAGGTCTACTGCCTGTTTCTGCGGGATGGTTTGAAAACGCTGGCTGGCTTAGACGCCGTAGAATAGATGAGCACAATGAGTGCGCGAACGTGTAAGAGTGTTCCACGGCTGTCGTCTGCTCAATGCGCTTACCGCGGCCGCGGGAACACGAATGCATGCGAAACGCCGGTATATAAGCTCGCATCTCGTTGCAATACGGGGGGGGGGGGGGGGGGGGTGAAGAAAAAAGAATGCTTGCATTCTTTTATTGCACCTCATTATTTATTTAAAGACTTATTAATCTCTTCAAGCAACAAGTACATAAACTACGCATGTTGTGTTAATAATTTTTGCCATGTCACGTGCCACTGTTGGCAACGTCAGAGCATAGTCATCTGCTCTGCATATAGGACCAACGTCACTGCATTGCCGTATATATATAGGGCTATTCATACGCGCACTTGATGCCCTCATTCTCTGGGCGTGCACTGGCAAAAGGAAGGGGGAGCAGCGTTCATCTTGAAATTTGAGCTATTTCTGCGGCGCGTAGCGTTGCAAATCCTGAACGCCTCATCTACGCATTGCACTTCACAACTCAAAATTGTCAAGCCTGCTGAGTGGCCCTTTAATGTCTTATCTATGCCTAAAGGACAGTTTTTAGGGCCTATTATAGATGCCTAAAACATTCCTTTTTTGGGCCTAAAGTTCCGGTCTCTAGTCATTAGTGTAGGCGAGAGATAACATTGAAAATACGAAGACATAATAAAATGTAGAAAAAAATACAGAATGGCAATGAGCCACTAACACTGAGGTGCACATAAAAGCATAGTGATACATAATAACGAAGCCAAGAGTGACATGTAATTAACATTGCCATGTGGGAAAATACAGCAGCAAAAGAAAGTAAAAAAAAACTTGTAGGTTGCTAGAAGGAACAAGCGAAGACGTTAACAACTTGAAGTGTGCTCAGTCTACGATAAAATATAACTTTTAAGCACAGTGGCAAATGTTTTACTGTAAGTGCGCACAGTTTCGCGAGGTAGTTTTTTTTTTTTCCCCCTTTGTGACGCCCCGTGTGCCACTGCCCCAGGCGTTCGGGTGGCTGCAAGGGAGCCCTAGCCCCCGGGGGCCGCAAGCACCACGACCGTCAGCCGCCTATTCGGGGGGGCGGAGGGGCGGCCAACCGGAGGCGCCCGCCCCGAGGCATGCGCCTTGAGTACCAGGACCTGGTTGCCATGGCGACAGGACCCCCGGGACAAGGAGACGCCATCCTGCGAGCCATGGACTCTGAGCTGGTGGCTCTCAAGCGCCAGGTACGTCTGTCAGTGGTGGCCGTGCATTTTAGTAAGACCCTGTGCCGCGCTTTTGGGATAACCTTATATGCAGTGAAACCTCGATGATGGTAATTTTGCAGGGTTGCCAGAAATATTCTACAATTCAAAATTCATTATAATCAGTTGGCTTGTGTCAGTGACATGTCTATTTTACTCTATCAATTTGAGTTGTCCTTCTTTAATGAATAGCTCACAAGGTGACATGCGTGTGGCACGGCCACTGAATGAAAGAGCGCTTGGGCACGGCTCGCCGCGTGCTCCAAAACCGGCGAGACAGGTCTACTTCCCGAACCGCCGCTGCGGCGCTGCCGAGGGGGGGGGGGGACAGTTTTCGCGAGCGCCCATAAAGTCACATGCGCGGTGTGCTTGCGGTAGTTACGATTAAGCGCGTGCATCTTAGTGTAACTCGGGAAATCTTTTAATATCTGTCTGCCGTGTGCGCACCAGGTAATTACCGACCTTGCTTTTAGGTACCTGCAGCCCTTGCGAATTTCGGTTATTGTCTTACCCGAGATGGAACCTTGCACACCGATCAGTTTTCGCGGAAGTAAGAATTGTGAGTACATTTTACTCAGATCCTACAAGATCACGACTAACAGATCTGGAAGAGCTACATCTTTCTAATACATCTAAATTAATTATAGTAACCGAATATGTCGCTTTAGAAAAGGTTGCTTCAGATTTAATAATTTCGTTTGAATATCTAACCTCAGCAACTGCAGTTGTCACTGTTTCTTTAACACAAAATAAGATAGACTTCGTACTTCCTGCAAACACGTCTGTAGTATTCGTACAATGAGATGCAACAGCCACGAAATATACTTAGCATGTGTGCAGTCTCGTAACAGTGGATTCGAGCCTCTTTAAAATTTCAGTGACTGTGATTTCGACGCTGGCAATTGAGCAAGCAGTTCTCAATTGAATAATACGAAAACTGTGAGACGAAAAGAGGGATGAAATGCTGCAAAATGCAAACACAACTGGTTGCGTTCCTGCGCTTTCGAATGTATTCGTCTCTTACTGTCTTGACGTTCTATGATAATGCAACTAATTCAACAGTGAACACATAATCGGAACAATATGCGTGAAAATATTTTATTTATTATTCATTTAGGGCTGATCCTGGCATTCTTAATATTGTCGCAACGTGCAAAGAACAAGACACGAGGCTTCCTTTCGACGTTAACAGCAAGGCTCTATTCACACACAAAAACAAAGTGCAAGAGCAGACGCGCAACGTCGTCTTCCTCAAAAAACGCCAGAAACTGCCACTCGTGATGCTGGCTTCTTCCTCCTTTTGTGCTTACGGCTAATAACCGTGACATTAGCCTCCCTCTCAAGAAAGCATCGTCCCGATGCTTCATCATCATGGCGGAAGGGTTTGTCGTCACTGGCAGCCTACGGGTTCATTCGGACAAATAAGGTTTCATCCGAACCACGTGCACAACTTCTGGTGCATGTCTTTGACATCTTGACCAATGTGGACTGTTGGGAATCACCTCGTAGTTAAACATCACTGAGACGACGGAGGACTTTATACGGCCCAAAGCACCGTCTCAAGAGCTTCTCCGAGAGGCCACGACGACGAACTGGGGTCCAGATCCAAGCTTTCTGTCCTGGTTCATAGAAGACAGGTCGGTGACGAAGATTATAGCGCCTTGTGTCATAGTCCTGGTGGCGACGAATACGTACGCGGGCATGTTGGCGGGCTTGTTCAGCAAGCTGAGTTATTTAGTCTGCACTTGTGTCAATGCCATCACTTTCATGCGGCAATATAGCGTCGAGCATTGTTGTGACGTCACGGCCATAGAGAAGACGGAATGGTGTCATGCGTGTTGTCTCTTGCTGTGCCGTATTGTAAGTGAAAGGGACGTAAGGCAGTATCTCGTCCCAGTTTTTATGTTCCACATCGACTTACATGCAAAATATATCTGCAAGTGTTTTGTTCAGCTATTCCGTCAGACCATTTGTTTGTGGATGGTATGCCGTTGTGCGCCGGTGAGATGTTCCACTTAGACTTAAATCTGTGCGTAATAGCTGCCCCTCCGTAATGGTCTAGTGGCTAAGGTACTCGGCTGCTGACCCGCAGGGCGCGGGTTCGAATCCCGGCTGCGGCGGCTGCATTTCCGATGGAGGCGGAAATGTTGTAGGCCCGTGTGCTCAGATTTGGGTGCACGTTAAAGAACCCCAGGTGGTCTAAATTTCCAGAGCCCTCCACTACGGCGTCTCTCATAATCATATAGTGGTTTTGGGACGTTAAACCCCACATATCAATCGTTATGGTATACCGTATTTACTCGATTCTACCGCGCCCTCGATTGTAACGCGCACCCGATTTCCACTGCGAAAAAAAAAAAAAAAAACGTAAGACATCGATTGCAACGCGCACCCATTTTTTTTCGCTGGCCCGCTCGATCACACCACTCGAAAAAACGATTCCTTTCGGGATTGTCTTCCATCTAAATATGAGGTACGGGCGAAGCTTGTGCCCATCTGACGTGTAACAGAGCATTGCCGTCACTGTAGTTTTACCGTGGACCGATGTCAGCACGCGAACTGATGTCAGCACGCGAACTTGCTTTGCCCCCTTCTTCTCGACAGTTGTGGTGCCAGGCATGTCGAAGTAAAGAGGCGTCTGATCGGCAATCCAGATTTGCCCAAGCAGGTAGCCGTTGTTGCGCCGCAAGTTTAGGACGAACCTCTGAAAACTGTAAAGCTTTTCATCGTACTTCTCCGCAAAAGTTTTTGCATATGCATGTTTCCCTTCGAAGGGAAGAGCCTTTCCTCTTCATATAGTTAATTAGCCAGCACCTGCTCGCTTTAAACTGGCTCCGCATTAGACTTTTTTCTAAGACTAATTGCATAGCCCGCACTTGGAGCAGTTCTGTCGTCACGGGCCGCTGTGCCGCTCGCTCCTCAAGCACATACTCGCGGAGCAGCTCTTTAATTTGCGGAAACCGACCCTGCTGTGGCTCACTGAAGCCTTTGCGTGAAGCTTTGCTGTCGACAATCTTCTGCTTTTGTTTCCGCCGCTCCCGCACGCACGTTTCGGGAACGACCGCGATGCGGCCCGACTTCCGTCTGTTTCTGCACACGCGATGACTTTTCTTTTAAAAGCGGCATCGTGGTGCACTTGAGTTTTTGGAGTCGGCCCTTTCACGTCGTCGATGCTAATGCACTACTAGATGACGAACTCCTCAGCACACGTACGAAGTGCCGCACATGGTAAACACATAGGCAGAAATAGCCGACGCACCATGCCGACGCACGTAGGGGGCGGCCATTTTGGATTTGCGATGGCAATAGATTGACCGTAATTTTTTGTTCGTACTCGATTCTAACGCGCATGCGATTTATGAACTCGCTTAAGCGGAAAAAAGGTGCGCGTTAGATTCGAGTAATTACGGTAGGTGCAGTTCTGGCGCACAAAGATGCTGATGGCGGGGAACATCCCATTGCTTTTGCCTCGAGGAGCTTGTCAAAAGCAGAACAAAACTACAGTCAACTCGGCAAGGCGGCACTGGCTTTAGTGTTTGGTGTGGATCGGTTCCACCAGTACTTGTGGGGTATCTCATTCGAAGCACACACTGACCACAAGCCACTTCTTGGGCTGCTGGGTGTCAACAAGCCCGTTCCCGTGCAAGCTTCGCCTCAAGTGGTCAGGTGGGCTCTGAAGCTGTCTGCTTACAAGTACGAACTTGTATACAAGCCTGGCAAAGAGCTCGGCCACGCTGATGCTCTTAGTAGACTCCCTCTCCCAACTGACGCTACTGCATTACCACGACCTGCTGAAATCTTCTTGCTAGAGGAGGCATATCCGAGACTCCTTTCACCAGGTGTTGTGGCCCAAGTCACACGAAATGACCCACTTCTGGGCCATGTTGTTCTTGCTGTTCTGAAAGGAGAAAGCCTCCCAGTAGGACTAGTGTGGAACCCTTCCAATACCCGAAGCTCAGAACTCAGTCTCCATGAGGGTTGCCTACTCTGGGGATCAAGAGTAGGGATTCCAAAGTCATTGCAGGCCCAAGTTCTTGGTGTTCTTCATGCCAGCCACCCGGGTATTGAGAAGAGCAAGATGATTGCCAGGAGCCATGTTTGGTGGCCAGGCATTGACAATGATATTGCCAACAGCGTGAAGAGCTGCGCTACGTGCCAGACTCAACATCGAGCTGCACAGCCGGTTCAGCAGACGCCGTGGCCTTTTCCACAGCGACCCTAGTCAAGGCTTCACATTGATTTTGGGGGACCATTTCTAGGTCACACATTCTTGGTTATTGTGGATGCGTTCTCAAAGTGCATAGAAGTCTTTCCTGTGTCTTCCACATCTGCGGAAGCTACCATTTCTGCATTGAGAATTGCATTTGCTCAGCATGGCCTGCCTGATGTCATAGTTTCAGACAACGGTCCTGCCTTCACCAGTGCCCAGTACCTTGAGTTATCAACTTGAAATGGAATACGCCGCATGCTTGTACCGCCGTATCACCCTGCCTCCAATGGTGCAGCGAAAGAGTTGTACAAACTGTGAAAAAAAAACTCAAAAAGTCTGGTTCTGGGAACTTCCAAACGCAGATCTCCAGGTTTCTGTTCCACTATAGGACCACACCACATGAAGTGACAGGTCGGCCACCGTGTGAACTCTTGACAGGAAGAATGTTCAAGACTCCGGTGGATGTCCTCAGGCCAAGCCTGCAGGCATCTGTATTCCTAAAACAACTCAAGCAGAAGTTGTATGGTGACAGAGGGTCCCGGCAGGCTCCATCACTGCAGCCAGGTGATGATGTGTACGCGCGAGGGGCACACCCTGGGTGCCTGCCAGTGTCGTGGACGTCACTCCATCATCAGCCAGTGTCCGTTTTGAAGATGGCACCTTAAGAAACCGACACAACGATCACTTGCGCCTTGTGCAGACGGAAACATTGGCCTCTCCTGAAACTGCTATCGCTGCAGCTCCACCACAGTTGGAGCCGCCGCTTCATTATGCGCCAGCTGTTCCAGAAGTGCCTCATCAGGAACAGCTTCCTGGAACTAGCTTCTCTGGGAGTAGCTGTGCCACGGAGAGTGACGGGACTGCGCTCAACAGTGGTGTGCATGTGAACAGTGACTCTGTCCTGTCTACGCCTAGCATGCCGAAGTTGCGATGTGGCACAAAAACTAGGAAACCGGTGAATAGGTACTCCCCGTAGTCTTCCTCCTAAGAGGGTATGAGTGTTACAATGTTGGTTCAAATGCAGCGCCCCCACGCAGCGCTGATAGTTGTGTTGGGCTGTGCAAGCCTGGCACAGCGGCGGGGTGGCCGTTTTGGGAAACAATAAAACACAGTTCGTTTTGGGCTAAGGGCTCAAATGTTCTCGTGTTCTTCGCGGGCCTGATGGCCTACTGTTCACGGTAGTCACTACCGCCTGGCCATTAGGTGCCGGCGGAGGGTAGAACGAAGTTTCAGTAGGTGCTTTATACTGCGGAGTCGTCGTCGTTGGTGGTGCCGGTAGCGGCGGCGGCGGCGGTGGTGGGTTGTAGACTGGTGCCGCCGGCACGTTGTAAGAATGAGCCAGTGCAGACGAGTTGTGCGGCACTGGCGACGGATGACGGGTGGCTGCCGTATAGTTAATAGATCACTGGGCTGGTAGTCATTCGGGCTGCGAAAATGCTTGCCTGATTTCCTGTCGCGCAACTTCTCCAACTGAAGCCATCCCCCGTTCTTGCGAAGTCGCAAGGAAGCTGCGGATCTCCTCACGAACAACCTCGCGAATAAGCTCACGCAGAGAACCGTTACTGTTGTTCGTCGGAGCAGAGATGCTGATTGAAGCACCGTTTGGTCGGTCGTAATAGCGACACCGTTGCTGCAGTTCGGGCTCGATAGATGTAGCCTCTTTGATAAATTCCGCGACGGTCGTCAGTGGATTGCGGAGAAGGCCGGCAAACAGCTGTTCTTTGACGCCTCGCATCAAATGGTGGAGTTTCTTGGCTTCAGGCATATCAGGGTCAGGCCGTCCAAACAGGCGCGTCACGTCCGCAAACATGATGACACTGTCATTCGGTTTCTGGACCCGAGACTTGATGAGTTGCTGAGCAAAGTCGCGGCGGTCGTTGTTTGCGAAGGTGCTGAGAATCTGCTGCCGAAATTTATCCCATGAAGATAGCGTTGCTTCATAATTCTCATACCACGTACGAGCGCTGTCTGCTAAAGCAAAGTAGGCACGTGAAAGCTTTAGCTCGGTGGTCCAGCGGTTTGCCTTAGCGCGTCGCTCATACTGGGCTAGCCAGTCCTCAACGTCTTCATACGCCTGCTTCACCATGGAATTTGTCCGGAATGTGAGGCTGCTCAAAAGTCAGCTCGGAAGCACCTGCAGTAGCCAATTCTCCAGGCGGACTGCTTTGCTGGGAAAGTTTTAGAGGAATCGCCTCAGGACTAAGGCCTCGCTGTCGGCGACTGTAGCGATGGACAGGGGTATCCACTGAAGGAACGGGTTGCGGTGTCGGACTTGAAGTGCCAGGCTGCGGAGGAGTCCCGAGCATCAGTCGTAGAAGTTCAGCACCTCCACCAGTGTCGCAACGTGCAAAGAACAGGACACAAGGCTTCCTTTAGACTTTAACAGCAAGGCTCTATTCACACACAAAAACTGAAGTGCAAGAGCATACGTGCAACATCGTTTTTCTCGAAAAACGCCAGAAACTGCCGCTCCTGATGCTGGCTTCTTCCTCGTTTTTTGTGCTCACGGCTAATAACCGTGACAATATTTTTTTTTACTTCTTTACAGTTTTGCATAATAAAACGACTTGACAATTGCTCCAGCTTGTGTGCCTAACTTTTGGCTTCTGTGTCTGTTGACAATAAAATCATCTGTTCGGTCTTTTCATGTTAGCCTCTCTACGGGCACTGGCAAATGCCGATAGCACTCCAACGCGCTTGTCTTCCAGCAGTCTCCGCCATGCGGTTCTGTCATCCATTACTGTTTATTTGTCCTACTATGTATCGTCGACCCTGTGCTCGCTCAAACGAAGGCACGTCACGTGTACTCGACTGCCCTATAGCAGCCGTGGTTTCGCGATGTGTAAACATAATAAAAGCGTGGTTGTCACTTGACCCAGCCGTTATATATATATATATATATTGCCTTGCCTAGCAGGAACTATAAAAAAATTTGAATGGCACTTCTAATGATGTATACTTTCGCAGCCTCCTCAATAAAGTTACGAGGAGCACGCCACCATGTCTGTAAAAACCACTTTTATCCAGCATTTGTAGCCTAATTACTTTTCGCCACACTACCGTGCACCGAATAACATAAAAAATATTCAAATCATGTTTCTTCGATACGCTTTCAGAATATAAAACTATGATTGTCCATTGTAAAGTGTCCAAAAATTATTTGTCGAGCATTCTGGCTGAGAAAACACGAAAGTGCTGAATAAACGTTGCAATATAATCAAAATATGTTAGTTTAAGACATCTCCATAAATATAACAATGACTCTGTCAAGCATTCAGTGCCATATTAGTCAGCTACATGCATTGTGGATTTTTCTGTCAGCCTCAGAGCAAGAGGCTGGTTTTGAAAAAAAAAAGGCGTTCTGCACGCACAGGAAAAATCAATTAGCTTTTTAACTAGATAGCGCCTCGTAGTCTACTGAATATGCGGTATGTCATCGCTGTGATAAATGTGGTTAAAAAAACACTGATTACTGTCACTGTTGGGTCACTGTTGTGACAAACACCAGCTTATTTGCTGCAGCTGCTGCCCTGAGGAAGCCGCCGCCACTCGTTTCCCCGTCCCCCGCCCCGTCCCGCTGTATCGGCCGCAGCTCACCCTACGGCTGACACGCTCTCTCCCATAGAAAGCCGCTCAACACAGCAGGCTGTACCGTGCGCTTTTTCATACAGCAGCCGTGCCTGTGGTAACTCTTCCAGGCCACTGCGCATGAGTGGGAAGTTTACCTGTTTTTGAGCCTCACCGGCAATAAACACCTTGTAGTTCGGCGCTCGTGTGTCTCGTTCCTCCCCTATTTTTCATGTTTAGTGATAAAACTGCGCTTCCATTGCGTCGCTGCGAAGATTGATATCTCTTGTAGCTTCACTTCTGCTTTGTACTTACCGACCTTTAACTGTTGAGGCTGCAAAACATGCCCGCTTTCAGTGACGTTTTCGGCAACCGACGGGCTCGTAGGTCCAGCATCTGCAAAGCCTATCCTGGTGACTCGGCTAGGAACTTGGCGATCGTTTCATTGACCACCGCGAGTTCGTCATCCTCGTTGTCCTGAGCCACAGCGTTTCTCTTTCTGAAGTTTCTGGAGGGCAATCGCCACACCTACTTCACAAATTCGTGTGGCGCAGAACTTCTTTACTGCAGTAGGCAGTCAACAGTACCGTGTCAAAATGGTGATGCCTGTGCATATCTCGACGGGAAAGCAGACACCGAAAACGCCACTTGGTCATTCAAATGCCTAGGTTTTGTCACGTGCCCCAAGCAGCCAATCGAATCGCGCGTTGGTACTTCTCGATGATGGGTGTTTGCTGGAAAAAAAATGAGCAAGACGAGCCAGCAGTGGTAGGAAATTGAAGATGAAAAAGGGCCCTTCCAAACGAAATCAAGATGGCCACGGTAGCTCGTGTGTAACGGCAAGGGTTTGGTGCGGAAAAAGCGTTATTTTAGCGTCTATTTGCGCTCACATTTATCTCACTGGAGTGTTATAAATTGATTTTGCGCCAAGAATAATGATGCTAGAAGCTAGAAACTTCTCAGATTAGAGCAAAAATAGGTTCAGATTCCGAAAATGTCAGCTTGAAAAAGTCGTTTTTTTTTTTCCGCGATTTTCGGCCTTCCATGACCTGTGTCCCCCCTTAAAAACCCAGGACCTGTACGAACCCTGCCCCTCCTACAGTTTGCATCATAATTGTATGAAAATTCGGGCTCATAAAACCCTGGACATCATCATAATTTGAAGTGATTGACAGCCCTTCCTTTCCCAGTTCATTATTATACACAGGTGTGCACCTGTCCTCTCTTGCTAATGTGGTCTTTTCATTTTTCTTCTGCCATGCTAAGCCTTGTGCTCATAATGTTCCCCCATGCTGCTGATGTTAAAGTTGTTGTCAAAACATATAGTCTACATAAAAAAGTTTGTGAAGTAGTTTATTTTTTGGGGTAAATGGGGCCTGTCGTATTCTCAACTTTTTGTTCTCTTGCTTGGGGCATGGCTTTTGTCTTAGGGCCATGATGGCATCATTGTGTTGCATAGTATGGGATGCAATACGGCCCTTTGCATAAAAAAAAGTGCCTGTGGTGGACAGGAGAGGGAACTGTCACTTGCGTGCAGGTGCAGAACAACAAGCAGATGATCAGCCAGCTGCGCCACAAGACAGCTATGGACATCGAAAACCTGCGGCCTCTTGAGGTGGGTCAATGTTACACGCTTGCCTCGATGTTTGCAACACGTTTGGGCAGAGCACGGCAGTGATAGATTCTTGATTTGGCCCATTGGTTCGGGGATCAAATTTGCACTCATTTCCAAAACTAAATGGTGCTTTAGTAGCTCTACAAGTGCTTTGTTGTGCAAATCTGGCATGCGGCTCTCAGGACTACCGTATTTACTCGATTCTACCGCGCCCTCGATTGTAACGCGCACCCGATTTCCACCGCGAAAAAAAAAAAAAAAACGTAAGACATCGATTGCAACGCGCACCCATTTTTTTTCGCTGGTCCGCACGATCACACCACTCGAAAAAACGATTCCTTTCGGGATTGTCTTCCATCTAAATATGAGGTACGGGCGAAGCTTGTGCCCATCTGATGTGTAACAGAGCATTGCCGTCACTGTAGTTTTACCGTGGACCGATGTCAGCACGCGAACTTGCTTTGCCCCCTTCTTCTCGACAGTTGTGGTGCCAGGCATGTCGAAGTAAAGAGGCGTCTGATCGGCATTCCAGATTTGCCGAAGCAGGTAGCCGTTGTTGCGCCGCAAGTTTAGGACGAACCTTTGAAAACTGTAAAGCTTTTCATCGTACTTCTCCGCAAAAGTTTTCGCATATGCATGTTCCCCTTCGAAGGGAAGAGCCTTTCCTCTTCATATAGTTAATTAGCCAGCACCTGCTCGCTTTAAACTGGCTCCGCATTAGACTTTTTTCTAAGACTAATTGCATAGCCCACACTTGGAGCAGTTCTGTCGTCACGGGCCGCTGTGCCGCTCGCTCCTCAAGCACATACTCGCGGAGCAGCTCTTTAATTTGCGGAAACCGACCCTGCTGTGGTTCACTGAAGCCTTTGCGTGAAGCTTTGCTGTCGACTATCTTCTGCTTTTGTTTCCGCCGGTCCCGCACGCACGTTTCGGGAACGACCGCGATGCGGCCCGACTTCCGTCCGTTTCTGCACACGCGTTGACAATGCTTTTAAAAGCGGCATCGTGGTGCACTTGAGTTTTTGGAGTCGGCCCTTTCACGTCGTCGATGCTAATGCACTACTAGATGACGAACTCCTCAGCACACGTACGAAGTGCCGCACATGGTAAACACATAGGCAGAAATAGCCGACGCACCATACCGACGCACGTAGGGGGCGGCCATTTTGGATTTGCGATGGCAATAGATTGACCGTAATTTTTTGTTCGTACTCGATTCTAACGCGCATGCAATTTATAAACTCGCTTAACCGGAAAAAAGGTGCGCGTTAGATTCGAGTAATTACGGTAATAGCTATTTTTGGACACACTTTTTCTGCCACTGAATGTATACGATTACTATATGCCATTGATGGCACTCCACTATAACTATAGAATGTCAGTAGCAAGGAAATGTGTCTTAACTAGCAAGGAAGTGTGTCTTAATGAACTAGGAAAATTGTAATAATAAAGGTCTTGAAATTTTCTACCCATACCTATTGTAACAATTATATATGAGATATCAAGTTTTAAAGGATATACTTGCACTTTGTACATGTCAAAGAATATGGGGTAAACATTTCCTCTAGATCTGGACATCAGAAGTACCATAATTATGATGTCTAAACTGAACAAGTAGACCGGCATTACATCTCGAGAAAACTGCATTTTAAATGTAACAATCAAAGCGCATCCCTATAGCAATGATTTGCGTTTCAAGATTTTTCCCATCGTGAGAGCTTGGGAATTATGGTTATTTTGAGCGTGTGGTTTTTGTGACCTACTTATGCGAAATGTTGTGGCTAAGCCAGATGACAATTTCCAGGGGATTAGACAGTGAGCTCTTTTTAGATCTCGTGGTACCTAGACCCACTTCGAGTTCAATTACAACTTTGATTCTTTTTGTCATGAAAGTAGAGAAACTAAACAAGTAAAAACAAATTATGTGCGATTTCTTTAAAGCCTTCTCTTTAACTTTGATAATGAACTTTCTTGTTTCTGGTCGGATGATGATGAAAATCGGCACAGACACTAAGAATGTGGATGCACGAAATTTTTGTGCATCCACAAAAATTTCGAGGCGATAGCACAAATACTTAATGAGAGACAAATTATTTTTTAATTGAACCTCGTGGAGGGGCTGGAGGATTTATAAAATGACAAAAATGGTTGGTAATTGCTGTATCCACAGCCAAATGTATGTTGAAAGGGGCTGCGTTCTCAAAATAACTTATTTGCAACACTAAAACTTGTAGTTTACGTTTCCTCCAGCGACACTGCAATGAGCACACTTGCACTACAAACAAGAAACTCTATAAAAAATTCTTTAAGGAGTACAATGAAAAACTAAGATCGCAGCCCCCTGAAGCACAGTTCAAGGAGCATAACAAAATAAACGGAATCAAAATCCGTACAGTGGTTGCCCAGATATCTGCTCCACGAGCTGAGTATAATGCCAAAAAAAAGAGTATTAAGAAAACCGCGTTTAAAGTTTCAACTTCTTTTTATGTCTCTAAAACACCTAAAGATTGTGATCTTAGGTTTGTCTTGTGATATTTGATTTTTCAGGTATCTAGTCTCTGACCAGTGTGCCTTGGTTGCTCTTTTTTTTTCCCCCATAATTTCCTTTTCATGTTTTACAAAGAACAAGTATGGATTTCAAACCAAGTTCTTTGTATGAAGGAGTGGTGTGATAGGCATGACAGAAAAGATTGTAATTGAATGAGACCATATACTGAATTGATTACACATATTTCTTGTGCCGAAGTTGTAATTAGCGTAATTACGTTCTTGATTATAAGTATTCACTGAACATTTCTTTATTTAGAGAGAGGTTTATTGCATCAGAAAAATGGATCACACCATGACAGCCTATGCCTTCTTTCCAAATAACAAAGTTATGGGCAGAAAACTGGTGGCACAGGAATTTTTAGCAGTATATTTAATGACGTAAAATGGGCATATAAAAATTCTTGCCCCTGATTCATACGTGCTCTTTTGCTGCTGTAGCCGTGAAACGCATCATCATATAGCCGGTCACGGAAACTCTAATCTACAGCAATTCATTAACCTCGGAACATTCATAGAGGTTCGTGGCTATATCAAGCACGGCTCCAAGCACGTCTGAATCGCATCACAAAAGCTTATTGACAGCACTCCATATGACCGTGGGGTATGTGGCCGCGCGGACAGTGCAGCCGGCGCGTAATGCACTTGCCGGCGGCGTTCGATGACGATGTGCAAAATGTGTAACTACGAAGATCGCATTTTCGAATGACGACGCGCGAAACTGCTAGCCGCTGTTCCGAGCAATCCATGGCAGCGAGGGGGGGGGGGGGGCTGATGAGCTTGACTGTGTTGTCCGCTGCCAATGCGTAAAATGCCCGTACGTGATTCAGAGGAGCTAGCGAGTGATGTGGTACATTACTTGCAAAGAAGCACGTCGCCAAGAGTGCGCTTGCGCGTCGCTCCTGCTCGCAGTCTCGCTGTCAGCGGAGTTAGGCCTAAAGCCGACTCCGATGACGCGCCGCACTCGTATACCGCCGCGCGCGCCCGCTCGTAGTAATCTGATCGTTCATCCGGTGCGGCCACTCGTAGCAATCAGAGCGTGCCGCCGCTTTCAACTTCATTGCTTGCAAAGAAGCACGTCGCCACGAATGCGCTAGCGTGTCGTTCCGCCCGCAGTCTCACTGTCGGCGGAGTTAGGGCTAAAGTCGACTCCAATGACGCGCGGCGCTCGTAGACTGCGCTCCCGCTCGTAGTAACCTGATCGCGCATCTGCTTAGTGCTCGTAACTAAAGCGTAGTTATATCTTAAGTGACTATCAAGCCGTGAACACGTCACGAAGTGGCGATTTTCGAGAGCCATGTCCTCGCGACGCACAAGTAGCAGACGACGATCTCCCAGAGCGAGCATCGGGCCAATGGCGAGGCGGGCTGAGGCAACATGGCGGCCACAGCCAATCAAGGGCCTCAAAACGACCTTCAAACATTTGCTTTTTGCTCACTTGTTGTTAAAGGGAGGAGCCAGCTGAGGCGGGAAAGTTAAACACGGAGAAATGCTCTTTCCGATGAGCCCAAGAAGTCGGCTACCGGCCCAAGCATCGCGAAGCTATAATTTTTTGAAAATCGCCGTCTTCTTGCCATTTCCAGAAAAAGTTTTGCTACCTAGGTGGGTGAAACGAATTTTTCGAAGCACTTCTGCGCGGTTTTCAGTGTAGATATTTTGGAACCAGATAGAAAAAGGGTTCCAGAAACTGAAAACTTGAGTTTCAAAAAATCGATTTTTTTTGCCATTTTTCGCGATCCCAAAGCTGTGTCCCCCCTTAAGTAGCATCTACCCCGAGAAGTGCGCAGTAGGTTTAAGGGGAGTAGCTACTCAAACACACTTTTTTTTAATATTCACCCTAGAGCAATGAAACTTCAGGTGTTTTTGGAACATTTTATGTTTTCTTGCAAGTTGCGTATTTTTAGCTCTGTGACATGACAAAGTGAAAACTTTAATCTCTTTGCCCTCCCCCTTTCCCTCTTTTCATCCCTAAACTTCCATAACTTATTAGCGTTCATAGTTCAAAATGTTTCAAATAAAGTGAAGAATGCAAGTAATCATCTAGGAAGTGCATACAAAATATGTAATAGATGCGAAAAATAAGAGATGTGAGAAAGACTTTTCCTACCCTTGAAAAGGTTTTCATAGAATTTTTTATTATAAAATAGAGATATTGAAATTTGAACTATATAATTGCATTTGTCATTCTTTGGAAGACATTTGTACAAAATTTTATGCAGATCTGAGCAAAAGAAGTACGTGAAGAAGGAGGGGCACATTGAAAAAAGGAGCAAAATCTGTGTTTTGAGAAAAACAAGTTCTCAAGTTAAAATTGAATTTTTATTTGTGAAAGATATCATTAGGTGCAATGAAATTTGCACGTCACAAAGAACGATCCTTTTTGTGGTGGCCTCTGCCACTAAATTCTGGCAGAGCCTTGTGCCGACTGCATGACTGCAAGCTAGGAATACGTTCGACAGGACTGTGAAACCTAAACTAAGTTCAGTGTCGAGGGACACAACAGTGCCGATGCCATTTTGCGGCTACGTTTGTGCCACATACCATCATACATAATGGGAATGTCATCCCCGCTAAGTTCCTTCACTGTGAGCTCGTTCGACCTCGCAAGATTGGCACCGACATCATCCATTGTTGAATCACAAACTTTCAGGCTGATGGTTGTGAATGACTTTTGATGCATTGGCTTTTGCAAGCCAACAACTGCCGCCAATCGGAGCAGGTGCTCGTAGCCTATTCGTACAGAGCGTGCCGATACAACTGCTTTCACAGGGGATCAATGGCTTTTTTCATTCATAACGAAGATAAATACATGAGAAAAGCATTGTCTAGCTGCCCTGCTCTACAAGACATGGACCCTGCAAGTAGGCTTCACAGCACATGCAGGCGCACAGCAGCGAAGGGCGGTCCCCCATCCGTACCACGCGATTTGAAAGCCAGTTGCGGTGCTCCAAGAATGCGCAAAACTGTGCTTATTTTTATTATTTCTTGCACCGCACCAGCTCGGGAAAGTGTCGTTATTCAAAGAGTGAGGCTCGACTCTTTGCCTCATGTGATTGACAATGGCGAGCCACGGTGCATTATTGACGGCAAGTTTCTCGAAGACTGCACACTTTCGACCTTGTAACAGGCACCTTGTGCTCTATAGACGCAATTTTAAAGCATTTCTAGTCAAGTTTCGACATGTATTTTTTTTTTTTCAGAACAGTAGAGGTACTAATCTTATCAAAACAGGCAAAAATTAAAAATTAGTAATTTTGAAGAAAACTGGCATTTTTTTACCCGCAACTCCCCTTAAAGCAGTGCTGTGTCGCGCGCACGCCCCAGCACATAGCTTAAAATACTTGTTACGATAAGTGTGTCATGCTTGCGTGCTTCTTGGTGGTCATCATCTGCTTTCATTCCTTTCCTGATGCTTGGCCACAAGGGCAGAGCCACAATTGTGTGAGAGTCGGGATCTAACAATCTCAATCATTCTCGGAAAGATGGAAAACCTTTGGCAGCAAATTGCGGTGTCAGGATTTTTATTGGTGCGGTAAAATTGTATGGTGCAACGTTACTGTAGGATACGTACTAACCAGTAGGCGTAAAACGAAGCACTATGGCTCAAGTGGTTTGCGAATGCGCTAGTCTCTATGAGACTCTGTGGGAGATTTGTTGCAACTAACTATGTTTTAGGTACGTTTAATGTGATTAAATATTATTGAGGTCTAACTGTATCAATTCTTTTTGCTGGAGGAGGACAGTGAACTTTTCATCGCCACAGCAACACACAGTGCAAGCATTATTAGTACCGCATGCGGAATATAGGTCGACCCCCTTACCTTAGCCAGCAAAAAAAAAAAAAAAAAAAGGAAAAAAGCAGAATTGTTTACGGATTCACTTTATTCAGTCCTCAGAGCTGTCGGAGCTCCGATGTCTGCTTATCACTAGCCGCCTCCCTTAGCATGTCGTCCTCAGTGCAGTCGAGAGCGTTGCTGATGCAGTGCCTTTTTGAATGCGCGCACAACCATCTCTTCAGGCAGGGACCTCCATGCCTCAAAGATACAACCAGCATTTGTCGCGAGAGGTGGCCTGCGCAGCCAGCCTGTTAGGGGTCCGCGGGCTGTCGCCAGCCATCCATTCGATGTACAACGCACGCACACAGTCTTTGAAAGGTTTATTAAGGACGATGTACAGCTGTTGCAGTGTGGAGGTCGTCCCTCCTGGAATGACGACAAGATTCGTCGTGAAGGCTCTCCTTCACTGATTCCGTCAAATGCCCGTAAAATGCATCCAACACGAGCACGTTCCGGTGCTGCAGGAGGGCTCTAGGCCGCCAGTTTTACACTGTGGGGATCCACTTGCGCATTAGGGCCTCGTCCGTGTACCCCTTCTTGTTAAGGTGGACGACGACATCCCACGGGAAGGCCTCTTTCAGCATCATTTTCTGCTTGAAGATGATGAAGGGGGGCAACTTTCTGCCGTCCGCCATGCAGGATAGCATAACGATGAAGCGCGAATGCTCGCTTCCGGTGGACAAAAGCTTCACCTCTTTTTCCCGGCCTTCACAAACAGTGGTGGACGACGGCATGTCGAACCACATTGGCGTTGCCTATCTGGCCTAGCATGTAGCCATGCTGCCGCCGGAGGCTGTTCACTTAGAGTTGAAACTCAATCAATTTGTCCTCGTACATCTCCGGCAGCTTCTGGCATATCGGCGTGAGCCCTCGAAGGGCAAATTCCTTGCGTCGCATGAAGTGACGGACCCAATAAATGGATCACTTGAAGTTTTTCTCTGACATAACGGCTTCACAGGCGAGCTCGACGGCTTTTGAGCGAATAAGCTCGCATTCGCTAACAGGTACCTGGCATAGTACTCGCAGACGAAATTCGCCACTTTGTCCTTGAGTTCCGGGTGCACAGCTCGTGACCACGAAACGACGTCTCCCTTGCGTTACACACCTACCGGTTAGATTTTTGGTTGCGCCAGTACCTGCCGCTTTTGTCGGACATTCCAAACTACCGCTGTGCCGCCATGTTGCCATTCGCTTCCGCGAATTCAGTAACTTTTTTTTTAAAGTGCCGCGTCACGGTATTCATGGCTGGTCGCAGAGTAAGGTCACCACTCGCTACCAACACGGTAGAAAAAGAAAAGAAAAATGGCATCGGCAGAGAACGCGTCAGCCCAAAGAGGTGATGTCGATGCTGATGCGTTGGTCGCATGCCCAAAAAGCATGCGACCAACGCCTCTTAAAAAATTATGCCTGGAACGTGAGCCGCAAACGCGCTGCTCTACCTTGTGATTTTACTCTCCTCCTTCGGTACGAAGGCAAGTGTCTCTGACGGCCGCCCCCTGCGAACACAGCAATGCTCTCACAGTGGCCTCCGACCAGCCATCATGTGACAGAGCAGTTCGGTAATGTCACATGACTGAGCGATATGGAGGTGAGCGGTCTCATGCGGCGGCTGGCTGCAATGCAGGGCAGGAGGCATGGCCTCCGAGATTAAGGGCTGGCAGGAGGCTCCTAATTGAAAAGAGAGCGATGTTCCAGGCATTGTTTTTCTAGGAGGCACTTACGCGACACTCCCTGTTGCCAGACAATCACTTGGTTTATGCTAAGAGCCAATATATAGGTCGAGGGGTGACTTTTTAGTGACATTTTTTGGAAAAAAATCTCAACCTATATTCCGCATTATATGGTATTATTGTTATTATTTTCATCTTGCAGATATATGGCTGTGCTGTTTGATTGCAAAAACTGCACATTTTTTTGTATTTCCGTAAAAGCAGGAAGTTGCTGTATACCACGTTTGTCATCTAAATGGGAGTAGAGTAAAAAATACACCTGGAAGCAGCGTGCCTCAACTGCGCAACTAGTGGTTGTGCGTGGCACCGAGAGGATTGAACCCTGTCCCCGCCACGGTGGTCTAGTGGCTAAGGTACTCGGCTGCTGACCCGCAGGTCGCGTGATCAAATCCCGGCTGTGGCGGCTGCATTTCCGATGGAGGCGGAAATGTTGTAGGCCCGTGTACTCAGATTTGGGGGCACGTTAAAGAACCCCAGGTGGTCAAAATTTCCGGAGCCCTTCACTACGGCAGTCCCTCATAATCATATGGTGGTTTTGGGACGTTAAACCCTACAAATCAATCGAGGATTGAACCCTGAAGCATGTCTGTTATTGGCCTCCTCTTGATGGTTGCAGGCCAATGCCAGAGTGAATGCCCGCTGGACCAATGATGAGCTGCTCATCGCCGTACAAGGTGAGTGGCCCTTGACGGAAGGGTACAGTTGTGCATTTACTCGAATGTAATGCGCATTTTCTCCCCAATTTTTCCTACCTCAAGGTAACCATCGCTTTGTAAGCTAATAACTAGAACGGGCAATGATTCTCACCAGTCTTCTATTCTCCATACATTTTTTTTTTTTTCTAGGAAGGTCACCTCGTGTGTTACAATTGAGTAAATCTAGTACTGCTGCAGTTTGAATAATCTTTTTGCAGGCTTTACAGGAGAAACATAATACGATAATGCCTTATCCAAATTTTGTGATGGTCTGAATTTTAAGGCTGTTTCACACTAACTACATCATACACTAAAGCCTCATCATAACGAAGTTACATCTGATACCAAAAGAAGTTTATTACATCTGAAAATTTGTCGTAAAGGTATATTCTTTGCGCTGCATTTATTGCAGTTATTCTTCATTTACTTTGTTATAACCGTTGTTTCGTTATATAGAGCAGTGCATAGACATCACAACGGTGGCTAAGCGGGTTTGTTGGTATGCGCAGTAGTTATTGCAAGCAGCTCAGAAACGGGACAAGATGTGCTCTGTAGCCTCATCCTGCGCTGTTTTAAATGACTATGTATATGCTATATAATGTGCGCCTTGGTTTTCCCAGCCACTGCATATGATACAAACACACGATTGACTGCTGCACGCAGCAGGGCTTGTCAGTAAGGGGAAGGCTCGTTCACACGTGGCCCTGAAGGGAATTAATGTTGCGAAACCCACCGGAATTCCCCTCGCTTCGCTGCCTAAGTAACTGGAAAACCCCATAGCGAGGACATTGCGAAAAAATCTCTCTGAGAGCGACTTTTCCACTGCGCAATACCAGATTGCCTTTCCACTTCACGGCTTAGGCTGCACTAGCTCAAACCACGTGATGTAAACAACCAGCAATATAATTGGTGAATTGAGCAGCTCCTCTGGTGAAGACAGCTCGAAAGCGAACATCGCAAGTGCTTGACAATAGCATCCTTGTTCATTCTAGGCAAGACTTGTCATCGCCAGGTGACCTTAAGCAATGTAATACTAACGGTAGACCAGACAAAGCGTAACGATAGTTTCTTCATGTGAACACTCAAAAAATGGGTTCCGGTTACATAGGAAGAGACATGGGCGTTACTCGCACTCCTGCTATGGCATACCGTATATACTCGCATGATGATCGCGCTTTTTTTTTTTTTTTTAAGTTGACTACAACTTCGGGATGCGATCATTACGCGGGGTATATTTTCCGTGAAAAAATATTCGGAGCACCGGAAACACAAAAAAGTTGCTAATCAGAATTCTTACGGGAGCTATCATGAACATGACCAAAAATAAAAGTAAATTACCATTGTAATAAAATGCACGCATTACGCAGGAGCTACATGCATGGCACACTGCCCTTTTACTTTTTGCCTCTCTGACCCCCTAACGTTCGTTCAGACTCCGAAGCATCACTGGCGTCGGTGTCGTCGCCGCACGCTTCCCTGTTGGAACCGACAGTGTCTTCACTGTCCCACAGAGGGCATCTTTCGTTCCGAGGAGCGTGTTGGAAATGCCAGCGACAGTCCATTCCGTCACACTAAGCGTGTCGTCCAGCTGGAACTAGTGCGGAAGTCCTTTGTGACTATTCCTAGCCTCTGGGAAACTGTGCACGCTTTCATCTATATAATGTATAATGACACTGCATAACCGTCCTTAGGCATGTCCTTCACGTATTTGAGGACTGCATTTTCAATGTCAGGGAACTTGCCAGATTTGGGTCCGCGAAAAGCCCATCGTGTGCTGTTAGTAGCCATGAGCATGTCGCGCTGTATTTTCCAATATCGGATCTGGATTTTGTCGACGCCGAAATGTCTGCCGGCAGCGCGGGTGCCGTGCTTTAGCGCGTAGTCAAGCGCCTTCTGCTTGAACGCGGCAGTAAAGCTCGCGTACCGCCCTATAGGTGAAACAGTGCTTCAACAAACGATCACAAAGCGCACCAAAAAAATAAAACATGGTCTGAGGGGGGAAAAAAAAACATAATTGCGGGATGAACACAGGTCGACCAACAGGCGGCTGCTGCTGTAACAGTGCTGGATGTCAAAACAAACATGGCGGCTGACGGAGCATAGCACTCCGTGGAGCGAAGCCACCGCATTTTTTTTTTTTTCTTTGCGTCAGTTTTGGAGGTTGTGAGTACATCACGGGCGTCAAAACAATTTCTTCCATCTAAATAAGGAATGCTTTAATTTGAATCAGTAAATTTATGGCCTTAGCATAGTGATGCACGCTTTCAGATCACAGAAACAATGATAGGCGCGTTCAGCTAGACTTGGCACATGACATGTTGATGCGGCAAGTTCAGGGTGCGATCATTACGCGGGGGCAAAAAAAAAGTCTAATTTAGATGACAAAATTTAGGGGTGCGATTATTATGTGAGTGCGATCATTGCGTGAGTAAATACGGTAGTTCACAAGCCTCAACAGCAGTGGTCCAAGAATAAGTTGTTGCTGATTTTTGAAAGGTCCTGCCACCAGTTTCAGCTAATATGCGAATGTTGCACATTGTGCACAGCATCACCGGCCTTATAGCGAATTTTATTGGTAGAACAGGGGCACTCAAAACCGAAAAGCATGAGTAGGAGCACAGTAGTAGATTGGCAGCGCTTTTGTTGTAGCAGATGAAGCACAGTATGACGGTTCGCATGATTTTTAAACGTCTCATTCTCCGTAATTGTTTTCTCCTTGCTCAAGCTGGCCAGCGCAGTGGTAGCAACCATGTGTAGATTTAAATGCGTTGGATCGCAAACGTGCTACGCAACTGCGAATTAGGGCACATTCTGAGTCCACTTATAACAACATATTGTATATAATAGGCTTGTGTGCATAGTGCATTTTAAGGTCAAAACAAATGACGATTTTCATCGAATAATTTGAATTCACATATTACATTCGAATCTCGATTATTTGAACTCGAAGGGACGCGAAAATTTTTTCCAATAAAAGAAGTTCAAAGTAATGAAAGCTAAGTGAACGGAGGGCTCACCATGCAGTGGCGCATGTGCATTGAGGTAACACGGGGGAAGTTTCAGATGTCTTCCATTTATTCACAAAACACAGGGCTTCCGTCATTAGTTGAAGTAATCGATGATACGCATCTGCTCATGTTTGCCTTGCAGCGAGTCAATAAATTTCGCACGCAGCTTGCAAAGCATTTCTACTTTGGCTTCAGCATTCTGCTGGCAAGAGAAGTTGCACGTGGCAATGTCCAGCGCCGACATTCTGGACAACAATGACTGCATCTCCTGCACTACCCCATGTGCCGCAGCCGAAGTGTGGCCAGCCCGTGACAAGAAAGAAGGAGCGTCTCCACGCTGAGAGAAGCAGATCAGCATTTGAGAGAGAACCAAAACTCTACAGCAGAGAGAGAGACACAACTTGAGTAAAAAAAAAATTCCGGCAAGTTTTTCAGGGATCTCGGCAGATATCCCCGTCTAGGTATCAGCCACGAGCCCTTGAGCTCTGGCAGCGGCCTCAGCCCGCTGGACAGCCCACAGTTTGTCTTCGAGGGCATAGCTGAGCAGAGCACTCTCCCAGCGCATTTGGTTCGAGGCTGCGTCCCCGTCTGAAGTCCCACCTCTGCCACACTCCCATAGCATGTGTTCAAGGGTTGCTCTGGCCTCACAAAACTTGCAGTGCGACGCATAAAGCTCTGGGTAACAGAGATTCAAGATCACCCGGTTTGGAAACTTCTTGGTCTGCAGCTGTCGTCACGTGACCGCCCGCCTTTTGTTCAGTTTTTGGTGTGGTGGCGGAAATTTGCACCTGGCCAATCTGTAATGCTGGGTATCTTTAAAACTGGTTAGGTGATCCTTCCATTCCCAGTCCTCACCCGACGTCGCGGCCAGGGCAGTGGGGTGATGGTGGTGGCTCGGTCCGTATGCCCTCTAGCCGCCACGTTCTCCGCCTCGTTGCTGGTGAGCGAGGAAGTGTGGGCGGGTGCCCATAGTGCGTAAACATCTCTATTTTCAGTTTTGCCCGCAAGTAAAATTCGTAACACCTCAGGAGAGACGCGGCCGTTGGCAAAGCTGTGGACTGCCGTCTTAGTCTCTGATAACCACTTTGGCCGTGGTAGTGGCCACTATGAGCACAATAGCCACTCCCTCCGCTGTCTCTACGGGCTCCGTGCATACCTTGACGCTAGTCTTGCAAACATTCAGGTGATCTATTACAGCGGTCGCGAAGCCGCGCCTGCGCACATACCTGGCCGCGTTCACGAACACTGCCTCTTTACATTTTCCATACTTCTTTTGCATGTTCTGTGCACTCCTGTCTGCCCCTGTGTTATTCAGGGTGCATGTTCTTTTGCAAAGGAAGATAACCAGCCTGTCCCTTACGTTGTTTAATACGTCGAGTTTGACACCGTGCTGAGCATGATATCTAATTCCTAAACTCTCCAGTATGTGTCTGCCGTTGTGCTTTTGGAAAGGAACTCGTACTGCGCTATTGTCTGTGCCGCTATCAATACCTCCAGTGTGTTGTGGAGACCCAGATCAAGTAATGTACTCGTGCTCATGTTCATCAGTAGCCCTATCGCCTGTTTGTATGCCCCCCCTTTTTTTTTTGCTCTTTTCGCGCTGTTTATTGAAAGGAGAAGTGTCTACGTGGCAGAGATGGAAAAGGGGGAAGCGTGGCACCGGCACGGGAGAGAAAGCAAACACTCTGCGACAGCTTTTTTTTTTTCCCCCTCTCTCTCCAAGCGGGGTTTGAAAGGAGAAAGGTCTTTACGTAGCAGGGACGGAAAAGGGAGAAGTGTGGCACAGGCACGTCGCAGATCGGCATTTGAAAGAGAAAGCAAACATTCCGCCCGATTCTATCCAACTCATTCTATCCAATTATGTACCAAATCAAAGTGTATTTGGAACAGATTCCACCGCAGCCTTTTCTTTCCTTTTCCTTTTCGCGCAGTTTTGAGGTGTCAGAGGTGTCACCGCAGGATTGGGCATGGTGTTGAGAGCATTTTCGGAGCGCGGTGTGTTCGAATTAACCGTCGCAAGTGCTTGCACTTTCGAATTACAGGGCGTTTTTGCCCATTGGAATACACATAGCTTTGACGGGACCTCAGTGTGAGTTCGAATTGACCGGAAGTTCGCATTAAGCATGTTCGGATTGATGAAATTTGACTGCATGAAGAAAAATGGGTGTTTTTTTCTCGACCCATCTAACCTGCACTCTTTATTTAATTGAAACAAAGTTTGGGTAAATGCTAATATTTTGGGTTCAGGTAAAGTGGAAACAACTTTGAATAGCAGCTGCATTTCACTTTCAGTAGGATGCAAGTGATAACCTGTAAACTGAGTTACGTTTTGAAATTTACTATACATGGAGCAAGTAAGCTGTCATAACAAGTTTTTAAACTTGTGAATTGGTGCAAAATGTTGTTCTAACCTTGCCGTGAAACTTTGCGCCAGTGCAGATTTTTTCTTTATAGGTGTTTGGCTTAGTGCTCTTTTACAGAAGTGAAACTGCCTTTACACAAGATTACATGCAGGCTAAGACACACCTGAGTAGGTACTTTCACGGCTCAGCACCACTCCAAAGCAGTGAAACCACTTTTGCAATAGGGTTACTTGAAGATTAATATCACCTATTCATTCTTTTCGAAAAATTCGAAATTTTCAACAATTCAAATTAGAAAAGTGTATTCAAATACAGCAATATTTGTTGGAATATTCAAAGCATTGCAATATTTGTGCAAGGCTATTATATAACGATGACACCGTTCTCTTTCACCTATCTGGTGCGGTGGGAAATGCAGGTCATAGTTGTGATATGTAGGGCTTGATTGGAAATCAATCTTACGTCCTTAACCTGCAGCACAGCTGAAGTGTATGCCGTTTTCTATGCAGGCATCCGCAAGTATGGTCGGGACTTCAAGACCATTGCCGAGGTGATTGGCAATAAGACAGAGGCGCACGTGCGCAGCTTCTTTGTCAACTACCGTCGGCGGTACAACCTGGATGCTGTGCTCCAGGAGTTCGAGGCCGAGCATGGCATCACTCCAGGAAGTGACGACACCAAGGTGGGCTGAAATCACTGTGTGGACAAGAGTGGCACTACAAGAAACTCTGGCATGGCATGCTGCCTTTGCACTTGTGTGAAACACCAGTGTGGTCACACTGATTTGTTAGCAATACTGTGCAGTGTACTCAAGCGTCTGAGCATGTTCTGTGCTTGATGACAACCGTACATCACCCACGCATACTCTTCAAAGAAACACCGAGAGTTGTGATAGGTGGTGTTTCATGTTTCATATTCATGTTTCGCTGCTGTAAGGCTGGATTTGGATTGAAGGCGGAGGTTGCCACATTGTTGTTATGCAGTGCAAAAGCTATTTTGCAGGCACCTCTAGCGTAGCTCTTTCATTTTGGGCATGTGCACTCTGGGCTTAATGTTTGGAAGGATTGGTAGCATGCTGCAATCAGTAGATATTGTTACACAAATTAAGGTAACTTAATGGGGGGGGGTTTAATGGGCCCTGAGTCCATGATCACAGTCTAATGATGATGATCACCGCCATGGCTCATACCCACTCAGGGGGATCGCAGTGGAGGCAACGTCGTCTTCCTTCTCTGCCCACGCTTCCCTTGTTTTTCCTGGTAGTGATAATTTGTATCATTCCTCCTCTCTCAGACGAAGCCCTCTGGGCGAGTCATTCTTGCATCCTTCGTGTAAACGGCTTCAGGCGGGCAACATGCGTCACCTCCGTCTTGCATGAACGTCGGCCACTACTGGTGACACGTGCATTTTCATAGTTGACCTCGCTGACACGACGGAGTATCACAAAAGGACCGGCATAGTGTGCCAGTAGCTTTTGGCTCAAGCCACGTCTGCGTATTGGGGTCCACACCCACAGTAGATCACCGGGGGCATAGGTTACATGCCTGTTTTGACTGTCGTAGCGAGTTTTGGATGACTCTTGCGCTGCCAGTGTACGTAAGCAGGCAAGTCGACGGGTCTCTTCCGCACGACACAAGGTTTCCGCAATTGTTAAATCGTCATGGATGACAAAAGGAAAGATAGTGTCCAGCGTAAGTCGAGGTGAGCGAGCGTAGAGCAGATAGACCTGTCGTTTCGTGTTTCGACGTGTTGAAGGCGTACGTGACGAATGGTAATACTTCATCCCAGTTTTTGTGGTCAGAGGCGACGTACATTGACAACATGTTGATCAACGTTCGGTTTGTGCGCTCGGTGAGACCGTTACTTTGCGGATGATACGCAGTTGAGTGTCGGAACTTGGAGGCACACAAACGAAGTAATGATTCGACAATATCAGCGGTAAATTGTCGCCCACGGTCATTTATTATCACGCGAGGTGGTCCGTGTCGGAGGATGACTGAATGCAACAGGAACTCCGAAACCTGGACTGCCGTGGCGGAGCATAAGGCAGCCGTCTCGCAGTACCGCGTCAGGTAGTCGGCGCATACAATTATCCACCGGTTACCTTTTGAGGAGCGTGGAAATGGTCCCATCAGATCAATGCCAACCTTTTCAAAAGGGGAACCGGGAGGCTTTACCGGTTGCAGGTGACCAACTGGACCCGAGGAGGGCCGCTTGTGGCTCTGGCACTGCGTACAGCTGGCCACGTAGTTCTGAATAGTTTTGCTCATTTTCGGCCAATAGAACCGCTCTTTCGTGCGACTAAGTGTTCGTGCGGTGCCTAGATGGCCAGAGGTGGGGTCATCATGCGTGAGATGCAGAACAGACGTTTGGAGGGACGCAGGAACAACCAGCAGAAAGCGGGCGCCCATCGTGGATAAGTTTCTCTGGTAAAGAAGACCATTTCGGACGCAGAATCGGCCTTCACTTAATGAATTTCTCGCTCCAGGGAAGAGAGCTTTTAAGCTTGGGTCATTACGCTGCTCAGCGGCGAAAGTCACGGCATCAGGAAAGCCAGACGACAGTCTCGGCTTCAAGTTATCGCTTCAATAGTTATCGAAGTTATCGGCTTCAATATTTTAAATGAATCGACTATTTGTTGGGTGTTGCCCAATACAGTCGAAAACCACAATAACGAATACCCGCGAGTACGAAATCCCCGCGGCAACGAAATATTTCCGAGTCTTCCGCGAACGTTCATAGAAACCCTTGTATTACCGTATTTACTCTCGTAATCGCCCCGCCGCGGTGGTCTAGTGGCTAAGGCACTCGGCTGCTGACCTGCAGGTCGCGGGTTCGAATCCTCGCTGCGGCGGCTGCATTTCCGATGGAGGCGGAAATGTTGTAGGCCCGTGTACTAAGATTTGGGTGCACGTTAAAGAGCCCCAGGTGGTCGAAATTTCCGGAGCCCTCCACTACGGCATCTATCATAATCATAATGTGGTTTTGGGACGTTAAACCCCACATATCAATCAATTACTCTCGTAATCCTCGCACTCGCATAATTCTCGCACCCCCCACATCGCCCAAGAAAAAATACGATTTTTTCCTCGAGTAATTATCGCACTTCCGAAAACTGCTGCAATAATGTCGTCTGCTCGTTACAGCCATTGATGATAATTGCGCGCACTATCTGGCACCATCTCTTAAGCATCAAGCGTACTATTGTACGGAGATTCAATCTAATCCAAGCCGAGCCAAAGTTGCCAGTGCGCGTTGCGGCGTGTTTTGTATGTTGTGTCGGTTATCTTGGCACGTTATGGGGCGATACTGAAGCCACACGGCTGCTTCAAGTTGCAAGTGATAGATCATACGCTAAACAATGGCAACAAGGCCGCCGGTAGGCCCTTCGGAGCTTACGAGTTTTGTGTTCGCTACTGGTGACGGCAGCTGAAAGCCACCAAGACGCATTGAGCCTGTCGTGTGCCTAAAACTGGGATTGATGGTAAACTTTATTTCTTCAGAAGGAAACTGCAAACGATTCTGTTAAATATCCATCAGCCCAATACTTATGTCCTACGTTTACCTTTTGAGGGCTCCTGCTGAGTGCCGACCGCTACCGCAACGCCCACAAGCTTCGCGTATGGTATTCTAATTCTTGACTATTTGCTTCCACTTTATGTGTCTCAAATAAATCTTGCCTTGTGTTGAACCTCTGCTTTTATTGTTGAGGTAAGTTCTAATTAGTACTTCTTAAAGCTTGCTGTAAGTTGCTGGTGTGAGGATCCAGATTTGCGGCCACCTCGTTTTCTTTTTTGCTCTCTGCGTTTTCGTGAAAAGCTTTCCCCGCGTAATTCTCGCACCCCCCAACTTTGCATCGGTCTTCTGGCAAAAAAAGTGCGAGGATTATGTGAGTAAATACGGTACGTATCTCGCGGCAACGAAGTGTTTTTGGACAGCGATCCCGCATTAACGAATTTTCTACCGCGGTGCGGGCCTTATTTTACCTTCCCGCCAAAGGTTAACTGTCAAAAATATGCTCGTATGCTTGTCATGCTCACTCAAAATTTATAAACGTCTGCTTCTGCCACGCTAGCGTGGGTACCGCCTTTTTCGTTTACTTAAGGGTGCAGACTGCTCTTTGGGACCAAAAAGTGACAAAAAAAATCATTTTTTAAAATTGACATATTTGGTTTCTGCAAGTATTTTTTTTATCTCTCTGCAAACTTTCACGCACCAGGAAGTAGTAATTTTTTTGTAATGTCATCTTAACTGTCCAGATTCTTGGTGCTGTTAACATGCAGAACCTGCAAAAAAAATGGGGAACCGACTTTGAGGCTTCCTTATAATTTGCCAGCACCTTTGTCTAAAGCTCTACTACCAATTTATGAGCACCTTCATGAGGATTGCAAAACATCCGCACCATGATTGTTGCTTTTTAAAGAAACTGTGTGTTTTCAGTTTTTTTTTAATTTTCTCAAAAACGTAAATTTGTGACTATTCAATTTTGAGGCCTCAATATCTGTGCAGGTAGGGCAGGTACAACAATAGTTCTCTTTGCAGTGGGAACCTGTATGTGCGTAGAATGCAAGTATGGGAGCAGAATTTGGAGCACATGCCTTTTTAATTAATTACTAATCAAAATTATAACACAATTCCAACTGCTTTTGAAAATTTATTTTGCTGCAAAATAACCAATAAAGGCCTAAAAACAAAAACCTTTTCCATACTTTCACTCTATCGTCATTAGTCTATGTTGGCGTATCCTAAAAATTCACTTTTAATTAGGCACTTTCTTTATGGTGGCCTTAAACAATAGGGGGTGAACTTAAGTTATCTCAGGAACAAAGTGAGTTACAGGAAAACTAATTAAATATTTGAAATCAGCAGAAAAAACTGCATAACCCTGTGCAGTTTTTGACTGCACCACTCTCACCTGAGATTGCTTTGAAGACCATAGCTTGTTTTGAAGTGGCTGAGCCATTCGTCGCTTAGGACGACGTTCTTAACACCCATTTGCATGGCGATTTCTTGAGCTTTTTGGTGGAGAATTGGTCCGCTTATGGGCAAATTGGAACTTCGTGCACGCTAGAACTACAGAAAACGAACTTTTATAGTTGTTCATAAGGCGTCGTCCCCATCCGTTTAGATGTAAAGGTCCTGTTCTTAACAGTGCTTTCAATTTTTCTCCATCGTTCAAGATCCGCGACAGCGTCGATTTCAGGATGTATTTTTTTGCCACCTCCATCTTGGGCAGGCCGCTTCGATCAAGCTCCTAAAGAATTTGCAGCTTTTCTTCAAGCGAGAGTGTATGGTGCGGCTGCTTCCTTTCCATCAGGTTGAAATAACACCGTAAACCACCGCATTTTGCCGCACAAATAGGCCTAATGCACAATTGACTCGCCCACTGGCTCCCACAGCCACAAGCGTGAACGGCTACTGGGTTAGCTTGTCTTGATCTCAAGGTGTTGCCATGGTTGTGAGACTACCTTTGGCATGAGTGAGTCTATGCTGTGTTTAGAGTTCGTGCCGTTTACTCGTAGGTGACTAATAAGCACTGTTTTGATTAACCGATGAGTTTTACTGCACAACACATGAAAATCCAGCCATATGAGCCCGTTTAGTTCCGTTAATGAGGCATTTTCGTTTAAGTGAGTTTCGTTTTTTTGGGAGTCCACTGTATTCGGAGTTTTGGCGTACACAGCATTCCGGTGCACACAAAGGGGTTTGCACACCAGCAGAGAAATAGAATATGTTGGGTTTGTACAATTGCAATTTTTTGACAGGTTCTTTGCACCTCCAGGTGGCCCTATTTGTTCGGCCTCTCACGCTTATGGCTGCAGTAATTTGGTATTACAAGAGTGCGAAGAACTCTACGGGTGAACTAAAATTCACTATTAACTATACTTGCATGTTATTTGTTAACAATGATATTTATCTGCTATACGCTACTCCACCTTGATAGCTTGTGGTTGTGTAACGTGTGTAATGAAATGACCCACTCATCGCGCCTTTCCTACACTTTCAACTACACAATTGCAAGTTACAGCAGTCTCTGGCATGCCGATTGCAAGCACATGTCGAACTATGCCATTTTCTTTCGCCTTTCTTTTATTGGTGGTTTGCACCCCGTAATTTTATGAAATCGTTCAGAAGTGGTGCGACGGAAGATCAGGCATGAAAAGTGGGAGAATTTCGAGTGTCATTGCTACTGGTGCATCGTCACTCAGGATGGTATGGAAAGAATATCACACTGAACACGTAGTTATGGTGTCAATGTTGCTAGGCACTTAATTTCCCGTTAAGTGTTTGCCATCGAAATGAATCCCGTTCCTTGGCCCGGAAGGATTTTTTTTTGAATATTTATGAGACACGCATATTTTTGTCTCTCTCTCTCTCTGTGTGGCGGGGGAAGTCGAAAGGAAATGCACCAGATGCCTTTCAAATTTCGCCAAGAAAATCTATGCATACAGAGCATTCGAATGAAGTCAGTGTCCCTTTAACGGCAGGCGTCATGACAGTGGAAATTTTTTCTAAGAATGTGTATTCGCTGCGTAGCACTCTTTAAATGCAGGGATACCACCTTCACAGAGAGTTACATGTGGATCGTTTATTTGGACACATTTTAGTAGTTTAAGGGGGGATGCTACACCTTCCAAAATCTCTTTTATTTTTGCGAGTACCTCAGTCAAATTTGGAGAGCCTATGCATATTTTACTGCTGATTTCAAAAATCTAATTCTTTTTTTTGCTGTGACCATTAGTTTTAAAGATATAATGAACTGCGACTTTTTCAATTAAGGCCTAATTAGCTAATTAACTGTAACTTGGATATTGATGTGCAACCTATAGAACCAATTCGGTATGTTCACAGTGTGCAATAAAGTATAAATCATTGTTCTGGGCTATTTCGAAGCAAAGTTGTGGGATGTTGAATATGACATGAAAAATTTCCCCATCTACACTTTTTTTTATTTATTTATTTATACAAGTACCTCACGGGTTCCACGAGGGAACATTGCGTGAGGGGGGGGTACATTTTGATTTTCAAAGAGCGATGAAAATATATACATATGCAAAAGTCTGGCTGCGTAAAAATAGAAAAGAACGAAAGAAGCAGCAAACAATAACATTATATAATTCGGAACGATAATACGCAAGTATACAATTCAAAATTGTGAAATATTTTTCTATAAAAGCCAAAAAGCACTTGGCTGCGCAAAAAAGATACAGATGAAAGAAAATAGCAAACAATAACGTTATACAATTCCAAACGATACTACATAACTATATAATACAAGAAGCGTTACAGTGTTAGAGGCGACCGCGTTAAGAATCAGAAACTAGCAGGAGTACAATAGGTAAGGCGCACACAACTAGAGTTCAAGAGGCAGTTTTTCAAGCAAGCCTCTAAAGATCTCGGTTTCTTTCACGTTTGCTATATTTTCAGGAAGATTGTTCCAGAGTACAATGGCACGTGGTAATGAAGATGAATTATAGGCGTTAGTGTGCCCGTATAGACGCTGAAAACTGAGGTTATGCTGCAAACGACGGGAATATCGATGAGGTTTGAGAAGTGGCAAGGAAAAACTGTGCTTGCTGTTGATGATTCTGTGCAACAGACATAAAAGAGAAATGTTTCTGCGGGAGGCGAGAGAGGAAAGAGAGAGCGACTGCTTGATTTTAGTTACACTAGAATGCCTGCTGTAGTTACCGGTGATAAAGCGAGCAGCGCGGTTTTGAACCGATTCCAGGCTTCGGGATAGATAATCTTGGTCAGGTGACCATATAGAAGAAGCGTATTCGAGTTTAGGGCGCACGAGTGTTTGGTAAGCGAGCTTGCGTGTGGTAGGAGGTGCATCACGAAGGTTGCGTTTTAGGTAACCAAGCGTTCGTGACGCGTCAGCAGTAATCTTGTTGATATGACTGGCCCAAGAAAGGTTCGATGCCAGATGGATGCCTAGATACTTATAAGATGAAGTAGGTCTTAGAGGGCTACCATCAAGGAAATACTGAAATGTTGAGAGTGAGCGCTTTCGAGTGAAGGTCATTTGATTGCACTTATCAACGTTTAATGACATTTGCCAATCTGAGCACCATGTGGTTACACGATCAAGGTCTTGCTGCAGAGCTGTATGATCTGATGGTGAAGTGATTTTGCGATAGATTATGCAGTCGTCCGCGAAGAGGCGAATTGATGACGTGATTTCTGAGGGAAGATCATTGATAAAAATTAAAAATAACAAAGGGCCAATAACGCTCCCCTGAGGGACACCAGATGTCACCTCCGAGAGAGGGGAAGACATGTTATCAATTACAGTACACTGTTTGCGAAAACACAGGAAGTTCCTAATCCAAGAGACTGTAAGTGAATCTAAGTTCAGAGATGATACTTTAGCTATTAAACGACAATGTGCAACGCGGTCAAATGCCTTAGAAAAGTCGATGAATATGCTGTCTGTTGGTAAATTTTCATCCATATTGTTAAAGATCTCATGCGTGAATTCGATAAGCTGTGTATCACAGGAAAGTCCTTTGCGGAAGCCGTGCTGATTTTTAAAAAAGTATTGGTTTTGTTCTAAGTGTGATGCAACATGTGAAGAAATAATGTGCTCAAGTAGCTTACATGGGATGCTCGTTAAGGATATGGGACGATAATTACTGGGCAGGCATTTGTCCCCGGATTTGAAAACCGGAATGACCTTAGCGATTTTCCAGTCATATGGAATCTCGCCAGTTTGTAACGATTGCTGAAAGATGTGACCGAGAATGGTACTAGACGGAACAACGGTATGCTTTAAGATTTTAGAGTTTATGCCGTCGACACCTGAACATGTGGACGTCTTGAGATTTGTAATTAGGGAAGAGATACCTGCAGGATTAATCTCTATAGGATCCATAAAACGATACTGAAATGTAGGTGGCAGAGGCATGTTAGTGTAATTTTCTTTCGTAAAAACTGAAGTGAAGTAATTATTAAACACCACTGGGCAAGATTCAGGAGAGACCGTAACACCGGCACTGTTCAAAATCGTGATACGAGTGTTAGAGCGTGTGGGGGCGATTGATTTCCAGAATTTCTTAGGGTCGTTTTTTAAAAGTGACTGTAGGTCATGTGAAAAGAACTTGAGTTTCGCCTGACGCACAGCATGACAATAAACCTTATCAGAATCACGATGCTTCGCCCATGCTACCGAAGATTGCAATAACTTTGCCTTACTGAAAAGACGCTTCTTTTTATTTCGAAGGGTGCGAAGTGTACGGGTAAACCATGGTTTAGATGTATTTACGCGAATTGTCAAGCGAGGGATATGTTCATGCACCAGGCTCAACAATTTTTCTTTATAAAGGCACCAATTTTCGTTGACTGAGCGGTTGAAGAAAGAGGCCATAAATGAGTGGGAGAAGTCAACTAAACTCTGATTTATGGATTGATAATCACCTCTTTTATAATCAAGTATTGGCCTTGGAGAGACATAAGGCTTGGATGCAGGTAAGCTAATAGATACCTGAATGAGACGGTGGTCACTGAGACCATCTAGATATAAGGTTGATGTAGCTTTTTCAGGAGCTGACGATAGAAGCAGGTCAAGAATGTTGTGTTGGCGCGTGGGTTGGTCAATTAATTGAACAAAAGAGAAGTCAAGGGTTAGATCGAGGAACTCTCTGGAATTGCGTGAAAGGGAAGTTAGATTGGACCAGTCAATTTCAGGATAGTTGAAATCGCCCAAGAGGAAAACGTCAGCTTTAGGAAACTTAGAGCGCAAATTTGTCAAGTTGTCGTGCAAATCTGTAACAAAACTTTCCGAGCAATCTGGCGGCCTGTAACATACTCCGAAAATTGTTTTGGATGCATGTGATGAGGAGCACACCCAAACAATTTCCAACCGTGACGGAATGTCAATCACAAAAGATGTGATATGACTTTTTATGGCAATAAGTACCCCCCCACCAGCTCTACCTATCCTATCTTTTCTGAAAATATGGAAATCAGGTGAGTCAAGCAAAACTTCACTATCTGAGATATTAGGGTTTAGCCAAGTTTCCGTAAGCAGCAAGATATCGCAGTTGCTGTTTTCAAGATAAGAGCACAACTCAGTACGCTTTGAAATAATACTGCGTATGTTGGTGTATGATAAAGTGAAGTTCTTGTACTGAATGGGATCAGCATGTGGCAGGAAATTGTTTGCAAGTGTGTGCGTAGCCGACCTACGCGCGAGCTATTGCGATGCAGGTGTTATTTTGTCATTGATTGCGTCGTACACGTAAGTAACGTTATCGATTCGCAGTTTATCGACTGCAAGCTTGAAAGGCACGTTTTTAGCTTTTCCAAATTCTAACAACTTTTTCCTAGCAAACCGTGTTTGCGGAGCAAAATCCTCACGGATGGCAAAGTGCGTGCCCTTCAGTTTGTGGCCCATTTCCATGATGCTGTGCTTGTCTTTAAAGAAAGCGAATTTTGTGATGATCGGTCTGCACTTATCAGAGTTGTATCTTCCAAGCCTGTGGGCTCTTTCAACTTGCGAGGATTGAAGTGTTATGCCCAGGTGCTGCGAACATAATTGAATAACTTTCTGTTCGGATGAGAACCAGGACTCAGACGGTTCGTCAGGTAGGCCAAAGAAAAGCAGGTTAGAACGTCGTAACCTGTTCTCGGCATCTTCACATCGCGATTCAATAGCCTTTATTTTTTCGCATATGTTGACGCCGGAAGTTTGTGACAAGGAAGTCGATGAACCATCATTTTGCTTTAAAGCCATAACGTCCACCTCCACGGCATGCATCCGGGAGGATATCTGCTTTAGTTCGTCATCAACAGATGTCTGCCAAAGTTTCAGGGCGCGCAGATCTTTCAGTATTTCTTCTTGTCTGGAATCTATCCTCTGGACAGTGGCCAGGACGGTAGTTAGAACTTCGTTTGTGTTAGGACCGGGATTAGATTCAACGTCACCGGATAGCAATAAAAGCAGGCTATTGGTATACATGCGAAACCAATTCTTACAGCGTTCAAACATAAGGAACAGTTCACTTGGGCACGACACCATAAGAAAGCAACGATTGCTGCTGCGGGGACAGCAAGAGCGGTCTAAATAACTAACCTGTAAGAGCAGACAGGGTAAGCGCTCCATTCCGGAACCGGTGTCGTGCCCCAAGCAAGCCTCTCCGGGAAAATGCTTATATGCGGTGCCTCCCCCGAAGATAGTGGCGTTGATTATCGTAGTCGATGACCATGGTTGCTGGTGTAGGAACTGATGATTATCCACTCCTGGCGGTAGCGTCGAATGCACTGGTATTTCCACGGAGCATGAAGTGACGCCGCACAGAAAGGCGGCATCAGGCAGCACGTCTGGAGTAGAAATCAGCAGGAAAGCCTGTAAGAGCAGACAGGGTAAGCGCTCCATTCCGGAACCGGTGTCGTGCCCCAAGCAAGCCTCTCCGGGAAAATGCTTATATGCGGTGCCTCCCCCGAAGATAGTGGCGTTGATTATCGTAGTCGATGACCATGGTTGCTGGTGTAGGAACTGATGATTATCCACTCCTGGCGGTAGCGTCGAATGCACTGGTATTTCCACGGAGCATGAAGTGACGCCGCACAGAAAGGCGGCATCAGGCAGCACGTCTGGAGTAGAAATCAGCAGGAAAGCCTGTAAGAGCAGACAGGGTAAGCGCTCCATTCCGGAACCGGTGTCGTGCCCCCTTGAAACAAAAGATCCATTTAGAGAATTTTCTCCAAAAATTATTACAATAAAACTTAGTTTACGACACATCCCCTGCATTTATCTTCGAAACAAAAAAGAAATCGTAATGATAACCCAGATAGAACAAGAGATATTGCTCCGGCATAATGGGAAGCACATGAAAATTGTCGTTTTGAGAAATCGAGAAAAAACGTGGGCACACATTTTTATTGCAGAAGATGCAACAAGACAACCTCAAAACGCACCAGAAGCATAGTCTGAATGCATTCTGTCCTCATGCCTCCTCTTCACTAGCTTCCGGAGTTCCAATGAGGCTGTTCTTTTCTTGTTGGAGACAATGCTGCGACGGTGGTCTTTTTCTCTCGCTCTCCTGGCACCAGTACTTGTCGCATTCATGTCCATTTCACCTAAGATTGCCGTTGCAGAATTCAAATTGCCCGTGTTGAAGCGCAGCACTGCTTCTGCAACAGCTGCTTCAACAGCGAACAGGGACGCATGGTGCTCCTTGGGGGCCAAACTCCAGATTACCGAATGTAGGCTCTCGTTGGAGTTCTGCGTTTTGCCGCGTTTGCACCTCTGAAGCAGGGCTCTTTCCGAAAGCCGGGTATAAACCGGTAGTAATGCCTCTGCCACGTCTTTCGGTAGATTGTAGGCATGCCTGGGGTCGGGCTCACCCTTTGCTTTTGCGGCATTGTGCCGACACCATGAAGTTTCACCAGCTGGGCACAGACTGTGGTCCGAGCATTCATCAGTGGAGGTGACGTGGCGGTATGTGGCCATCACAGCCTTTTGCATCTCGCCCACGTCACCTTCATGCGATTTCAGAGCCCGGCCATAATATGTGCTCAGCCTGGTGATCAGCTCACCTGTGAGCCTGCCTTTCCCACCAAGGCCTCTTTTCCCATCGCACTTTTGTTTCTGCACCAGGTTTCTCAATGCGGTGCCCATCCGTTTCTGTACATGATTAATACAGTCTTCCTTCTGCACGTCAATGTAACCATACACCTTGGCGTCTTGTATGGCGCAAAATGTCCTAGAGTCTCCATCAGACAGCATAGTTGTGTAGCGCAGGCCATGGCGTTCAAGCGACCTCTGAAATAGAATTAGAGCCGCCTCCACTTCCATTTGCCCCGCTTTGCTGTTCGTACTTTTTTGGCATTTGTGGTTAGCCTTCCATTCTTGATAGCCCTCACTACTAGGCTTTGGGCCCACCTCGCAGCCTAGGCAAAAGTTGGAAAGAACGACGTAGTCCAACACGTAGCCACTAAATAATTCGATAACTGTGCCCACGCCGATGTGGGAAGAATGGCCTCGCGTCTTCCACGTGCCGTCGTAGCTAACGGCAATATTGCCCCGGTGGCCGAAGCACAAGTCATCATAAATTGTTCTAACCTTTTCCGCACATTCGCTCATAGCGGACTCAGCCGCTCGCGTTGCAGCGGGTGCCAGCGTGTTCTTCAAATGCCACTGAAACGTCTTGTGGTGCATACCGCGGTGTGAGATGCCCATTGTTGCGAAAATATCGTTCAAACGGATTGCACGTTTTCGTGCCGTTGTGCATACCGCGGTGTGAGATGCCCATTGTTGCGAAAATATCGTTCAAACGGATTGCACGTTTTCGTGCCGTTCGCGCGGGGCGAAGTCCATTCATTCGCGATCTCGCCGCACCTTTCACACTGCACTAGCACTTTCACGGCAAGTCCGTAGTCCCGATCCCCTCTGACGATCGTAGCCGGTCCGTGGCAGGCTTTGCAACACAAGGCACCCATTATCGCGTTTAGGATATCTAGATGCATAAGCAGATAAGGAGCAGCGTGGTCCGAGTCCTGTGCGGTTGCCTCGCTACAACTCGCGGTGAAAAAGTCAATTTTCCGTGCAGTTGCTGGCGCCGATGAAAGCCGGTCGAGCGTCGCTTCTCCCGGGCATGATTTTCTTCAACTTCGGCGTTTGTCACCACCTTGGCGTCGATTCGTAGTCGTCCGGAGTTCGCTTCACCGTCATCGTCGTCGGAGGCAACGCGCTCGGTCGCACCATCGCTGAACGGCCGCGGAGCGTCGACACATCGTTGGTCGGAGTCAACCAAGGGCTCTGATAACTTCGTAGACTTTCTCCCACGACCTTTGTGTTTCCTGCGACCAAATGCGTGCACGGTCCGATACTTTTTTGCGTTTCCAGGCATGGCGATACGATCAGAAGCTTCAGAGTGCTCTGCCGATTTCGAGGCGTCACAGCGGTAACCCTTTCAAAATGGCGTCGGGTCGCGTATGCAGGCGCAAGCCGCGAGCTTCCAGCCAACCGGAAAGCGCCATTTCAGTCACGTGCGCCGTTTAGCCAATGGCAGTGAGTGCGGCTCTTCGTCTTTGAGGCCCCGTTTTTCGAGCCGGGGAAACGCTCAATGTTGCTTACTGAATAAAAAAACAGCTGAAAACGCGTTCTTTCAAACAAGACCAAAATGGCGCCGATCGAGTGCGTAGTTCCCGCGTATCGTAGAGCCGAAACCTGCGCTATTCGCCCTCAATTTAAAGGGCAGGACGCCCGTTTTTGGTTTTTTAAAGTTGAATAACGATAAAAGTTGATGGTATTCGGCTATGAAATTTTGTAAATAGGTGCGCAATGATGTCGGGAACGCGAAAAGAAGGTCCGCGAAAACTCGATTTTTTGGCTGATTTTCGGTCCCGAAGTGCCGCGTCCCCCTTAAGGGGGGAAGTGGCATTGAAAAAAAACTTTATTTGTTGACCTACAGCAATGAAATTTGGCATGCATACTCATAAGTGTCTAGAATAGGGAAATATGCAGCTTCATCATGATAGCTTCAGTAGTTCTCAAGTTACATAATGCTACACATCCAATTACATGGTCCGCTCAGGGAAAGCCTAGCGCTGCAACAAAACATGCCAGGAAGCTGCGAATGGTGTTGATCTTTACTCAAAAGAAAGCTACAGGGTATGGCAGTCTCAAAATTTTTTAATAAGTTCTCTTTTTTTTTTTAGAGATCATCATGGCTGCCGACACACATTGTCAGAAACAGTGGCACGGACAAATCATCGTCTAGAAAAATAACAGGGCCATAAAACAGAAATTGAAGATTGCTGTACCCACAAGCAGTGTTCAAGGATTCAGGAAAAAAAAACAGAATCAAAATCGATCCAGTCCTTACCGTGCCACTCTTTCCGCAAGCAATGCACAATGTCCAAAACACACTTGTGGGAAAAAGCCTGTCGAAGTTTTCGACAGGCTTTTTTCGATGAACTTTTTTGTTTCTTTTTGGATATTGACGAAAATTGGCACAGACACTAAGAATGACCTCACAGTGCTTTCATAAAAATTTTGAAGCGATACCACAAATACTTTACGAGAAACAAATTATTTCATCATTGAATTATGTGGAGGGGATGAGCATAATGTAAAAAAAAAACAGTATTGAGAAAGCTGCGTTTAAAGTTTCAACTTTTCTTTACGTCTCTAATGATGTATCCGTGACGTCACGCCAGCCGAAGCCGCCGTTATCACCACTGCTTCTTCTCCTTCCCTTCCCCTTAACCCCTCTCGCACAACGCTACTTTAACCCGCGCTATCGCAATAAAGCTTTTGTCTTGGCCCAGCCACGGCCCTGGCGTGTTCGTTTCAGTGGCGACGAAGATGGGATAAAAGCGGTGCGGCAACTCCGTCCGTCATGACCTGCCGCACCCACGGGAGGATACGCCAGCCCGCCGCAGTTCGACGAGGCGAGCGACAAGTGGCCCGCGTACCAGGTTCGGCTGGAAGCCTTCTTTGAGGGAAATGGCATCACGGAAGACAACAAGAAGCGGGCCCTGCTGGTGACTGCACTGTCCACCCACACCGTCGACGTACTGAGCGGACGTTGTGCTCCGGATAAGGTGAATGAACTTTCATACCCACAAGTGATAGCCTTGCTTAAGCAGCACTTCTCGCCCCAACCGAACGAGATAGCACAGTCTTATAAGTTCTTCACCCGCAATCAGCTGCCCGGCGAACCGGTCAAGGATTTTGTCGTGGCGATTCGACAGATAGCGGACACCTGCAATTTTGGTGCTTCGTTGGACAGAATGCTACGAGATCGCATCGTGTGTGGTCTGCACAACGTCGGAGTGCGTCGGCAGCTACTCGCGAAACCACAGCTGACGAGGAGCGAAGCGGAAGAAATTGCGATATCTACCGAAATGGCCGAGGCCAACGCGCAAGAGATAGTAAGCCCCACCGCTGAGGCAAGTGTGCATGCGCTGGGAGGCCAGTCCTATCGCCCACGAAGCCGGCCACAGATTGTTGGGTGCTACCGCTGCGGAGCAAAAGGGCACGGACCCAAGGATTGCCGCTTCCGCTCGGCGTCATGCTTCAAGTGTAAACAACGAGGTCATATCGCTCGAGCCTGTTGCCGCCGTGAGAGTGGGTTCGGGGTGGTACCACCAGAACGCCAAGTACACGCCTTGTCGCGGGAGGAAGACACTGGCACGGACGGTATGTTCGCGCTGGAGGCAGCGGACAGTCACATCGGCCACGT